CAGGCCTATTATTAACATCAATTACTTTAGACTGAATTAAATTTAGAATGACAATGTGCAATATTTAATATGACTTTCAAATCATATATTTTTTTCGAGACAAATTTATAAATTTATTACGTTTAATTTAAACATGTAAGGAATTTGTACGTCTTCCTATAACACTGCACATTCACTGATAAACCAGAACGTAATTGTCACAGAGAAATGATGTTTAGCGCCTGTTATAAAAATAAGTTGATTTTATTGTTTTATGGAGCGATATTTTATTTGTGTCTTGCGGTGAGGCATGCAGTTTCTGTCAAGAGTTCAGAAGTGACAGGTGCGTTCAGATTTATCAGCGAACGCACCATAGTTCTGATACTGTGTAGCAAATCGTTTTGTTCTAACTTCACAATGTTGAACCTTTGCTGAAAAGACGTTTGTTACACGGGCTATCTGGTGATAAATACTCACTTAAATCTTAAGGTGTATTGTCTACATAAGACCCCTTATCGAATCTTATCTGAGTCACTTCACACCAGTTCTCACCGTCAAACACTGATTCTCTAAGACACGTGTGAACAATTTCAAATCATGGAGGTCTGTCGAGCGACAATCACTTCTGATTTGAGAAGTCAAAGGTTCAAATCTCGACCCGAAATCAGGGTATTCTGAATGAGGTTCTTCGCCGTTTTTCTCAGTCCCTCCAGGATTATTATGTGAGAGTGCCATCCATTAAGACATGACAGCACTTTTCTACATTATTTCCAACTAATTTTAAAGTAATCATCCTATCACGTGACGCCACATAATATGATCAATTGACAGCGGCTTTGAATCTAACACAAAAAAATAAAAAAAAATAAGGAGGATACAAGATTCTGTTGAAAATAACTATTTTAAGATTAGAATAAGATTACACCCTCACGGATAAGAAGAGAAATGGGAATATTCGACAAAAACTGAATGTACACGATAAATAACACAGTGAAATAGTATAAGCCTAATTGATAGTTGTCACAGTAATGTAATTTAAATTTATCGTATAAATCAAAGGCGTGTAAGTCGAACAAGAAATCGTCTGAAAATTTTAAACGGAAAGGCTAAACTACTTCCCAATTCATGGAAATTATCAACACATTAAGAAATACTGTCTTTATTTTGCAACTTCATAATAACGGCTGGCGATATCAATATTTTTTATCGTTATCACATAATATGGTATCGTATCGCATATCTTCGCCTGATCACTTACAGAAAATTTGTTATCCTAAAAAATCTCTTAATTTACAAGTTATAATTTATAAACTAGAGCCTGAGTTAAAATTATATTGTTACACCTATTTTTTCTCACACAGTTTCTTTCAAATGTTTCTTAGCTATACAAAGTCGCTAATATATTTTTATTTTATTTTTTTAATAAATACTTACTTCTGAAAATACATCGCAATGTACAAATAATTTTGTAATGGAGCTCAGCTCACCTGTCACTTAATTTTACAGACGTCAGTATAAAGTAATCTTGATTCAAGTTTAATTACGTTCTATGCCACATCTCAGAAATACTAACGATTCAACAACGTTTGGTTCAACTCCCGGCTTTATGACAGGGTAAGCATTACTATTCGTGATTTTCCTCAGTCACTTAAACCAAATGTCGACATATTACCGTAAATTAGGCCAAAACCATTTGCTTTAACAACATTTTCAATTAAGTAACGTCTTCACTGTATTACTCTTATGACTATGATTAAATAAATGATGGATATAAACTATTTATTATAAAATCAACCACCAGTAGCTTACTGACAGGTACTGTGCGCCTATGAGATTAAATAACGTAACACTAGCACATTCTCCTACTTAATAAACATAAAAATGTGAGTCTTTTGCTATATGTAACTTAAGTTTAAGTGCACTTAAATAGAAGTTTCGTATTTAACTGAGTATGATTGGTAGGTCCACATTATAAGTCTTGTTACGGGACGAAGGTCGATGTTTTCTCTGCAAAATTTAGTAAATCATTCAAAACTTTGACTCTGACGTTACTTCAGGATCACAGGGTACGTTCCAGCGTGTATTTTTAATAGGTAAACATTTCAAAGTCAGAGGGATAGTCCGTGAGGCAAAGACACGTAAAGTCTATAAAAAAAACAAAATTGTTTATACTTTATAATTCCAGTTTTTTATATATAATTTTACGGGCTATAACAGACACACCTAAAGGAAGTTTCACCTCGGTTGTAACGATGGGATATTATCTTCAGAAATGTCAATTCGGTATACACCTTTACTCGGTTTTGTGATATTCATTCCCATAATCGACACAGATATATGAGACTATTAAACTTTCTCATGCTAGCGGGCAGAGTCAAACAATTCCACTCCTCTCTTATTTGTCCAATTCCGCTTTGTTACGCGATAATTATGATAGAAAAAGTTACGTACATTGATGTACTAAAATGTGTCTTTCCGTCTGAATCCCACGAGTTCAAGGAAGCCCGAATAATGAACGCTCATGAAGACACTTTACACAGTATTAAAGTCAGCTTATTCAATGAAACTGGCCATAAAAATTACCACATAACTTAAGATAACAATAATGTGATATGAAGTTATTGGCACTTAACTCCAAAGCCGAAAATCGTCTAAATAATGTTTAATAATTCGGTTTGTACCTCAAAGAAAACACTACACTGTAATATTGCAGAGAAACAATTGGTTAATCCTGTCTCGGGAAATAACCTACAATAAGAATTAAAAAAACCGATAAATAAAATTAAAGAGGTGTTGATGATTCCCAGTGAAATTTAAAGAGTCAAACTTCTGTGCGGATGATAGGCTTGCATTTTTGAAATTTCGGTCGTGTTGCATTCAGCAGGCTGATGACTAACAATATGCTTTATTCGCAAGTGTCTCAGTTCAAAGAATCCCACATTTTATTTAACAAAAATTTGTTGTCTTGTGGGTCATGACGATGTGTAATCTTGAAGGAAGTTATCAAAATTTTCGGAGAAACCTCTCTCTTCATGGCGAGGTCTTGCGATGGTCTGAACCCCCGTATACAGGGCTCTATTGTTAGATGAATTCTACATGAACAAAGAGTCGAATCTTTTTGAAGCTCTAAAGAACTGGGAAGCATTTAACACTGATGTATTGTTCCTTATTTATTAATTATTAAACTACTGAATGGATTAATGAATTTAAAGGAAGAAAACTTGATCGCAAGTCACTAGTACAGAGAAATGTTAGAATAATAATTCGCAGATTCCATATGTCCAAATTCTTTTCAAACTCATAAGAGGATAAAAATAATTAGACCTAATCCTGTGAAAACACAGCCCGAAAGTTCAAAACTGCCAACACAAATTCACTATTAGACATGTTCCTGACTTCTATCTGCCTCTGCACAACCAATTCTAATAACCTTTTTCTATACGATCTCCCTGAATGTTATCCTCCCATCGCCTTGTGGTTAATCTAAGCAGATGCTTTTAAGAAGTTTTCCTAACAAACTTCTGTACACATTTCTTGTCTCCCCATCTTAGCCAAATGCCCAGTCTACTGTAACCTCCTAGAATTCACTGCGATATTAGACGACCCGTACAAATGATAATATTCCTAATTAATAAGAATAATATAACTAAATTGTCCACTTACTTGAATTTTGTCAGGCCCAAATATTACCCCAAAAGTAAAAAGTAATAAATGGATATTAAGAAAAAGTTCTTTCATTGAAGTGGTTCATTCATGTTAGATAAGAATATTATTATCGCAGGCTGACATCGATCACAGAGTCGAATTCTGTTCTTATTTTTCAGTGTTGTAGACACTGCATACGCCCGGCACGTAACAAACATTCCCGACTCGGAAACCAAAGAAATTTCAAGCCCTAATGAAGAGAATGAGAATGGGAGACCAGGAACTGTTACCAAACTGAGATTGTCTTGTAAACTGAGCAAAAACTGGAAATGTATGAGAAGGCTTCGGAAGTTCATGACCTAAAAAACCGAGAAATATGCTTACAAATATGCCCCAAAAATAGCAAAATATGACCTAATTTTATTATGAAAAAATATTCGCTAAAATTTAAAAAAAAGCGTTTTGTATTTCAATCATGTTATTTATTTATATACATATGCATGTATAACTATTACATTACTTGATTTCCTAGCTGACGTAGTACAAATAAACCGATTTAGCAAAGACATGATATCACAGTTTCTGCTTTACCTTCTATTGAAGTACTACTGAATAGTTTATTTATTTATTTAAAGACTCTCTGTCAAATGCATATGCTATACAGCGCTGTCAGGCTGATTATGCATTATTATCACGTGAAAAAGAAAAATAATAACCTAATATGAGACACTATTTCAGAATCAACTTACCAGAACTGTAGAAACGAAAATTTTGTTAGGAAAATCTTCCCATTATCGAAGATTCCAGCTCGGAATTTTCTGAATAAGAAGCTAAAGTGCTAATAAACACCGTGAAGTTCTATTAAGATCTATTAGTAATAGCCAGAATCGAGAGCCAGTTCATTAACTTATAGGGGATATGAACCATATACCTGAAGATTTCCGTCTTCTGGGTTGTTGCGTTGAATAGTCTGGTAGATGGTTACCAACGTTTCAGAGGTCATACTGCCTC